GTCAACAACCCATTCCTCTCTTTTATTTTACCTTTTTGTTATATTAAAAAAATGGAAATGATATCTCTTAGATTTTTTTTTCACCAACTAAGGAAAAAAAAAGAAGATTTTGCCCTCAATTTAGTTAGGTCATACACGTTTCTCAAGTTTTAAGCTCCTTGTCTGTTACGCAAGTAAACCATGACCACATCTCTGATCTCTCTACATGTACACGTTCATATTCTCTTTCTCACATTTGTCTACAAGTAATTAAGGTTTGAAACCATCATGATTGAACATTTATGGCAATTTTTAAAAGATTAGTTATCAAAATGATCTCTCTGATTCATAATTCATAAATATCGAAACCCAAGTTCAAGTTTTGTTCTCACTCTAATCAATTCAAGTCCTAATATATATATAGCTCTGTACAAGCTCTCCTAAAGGTTAATAAACCATACAAGTACTCACATATTACCAAAAAATAGTCTATGCTGGTGGCAAACGCTGGTTTGTTGCAAGGACTCGGGTTTCAAAATGGTGTTCTTGGCATCAGAAATGACTTCAATAGACTTATTCAGTCGCTACGCATTGGAGGAGTTCTGTATCTCTCTGTCTCTGGTGTGAACTGCCATCGGAGGAACCAAGTCTTCGTCGTCAGATCGAAGCAAAGTTTTGACAGAAAGATGAAAGATAAAAACGATTGCTTGTATCTCTAGTAGACAAAAAATAGAAACTTACAGTGAAACTATGTGCTACTATTCATGGTTGATACTCAATCTTTGGTTGGTTCTTCATCAATCTTCTTGGAAAATAATGCAAATATTGCAGTATCAATACAATAACAAGATAAAAAGCAGAAGAAGCATTCAAATGTTTATACTTTGATCAGCAATTTTGTCATAAATACGAGTGATGCAGCAAGAGGACCATACCTCCAACACAGATTTCGCCTCTGAATCAAACGTTTTGCAAAGTATCTCATACTTCGCCGAGAAAGTCTGCAAAATGTAAATCAGGTGCTTAAAAATTATTTTGATGAATGCCTTACACAAAGATAATGGAAAATAAGACTACTGATTCTGTACCAGAAGATTAGCTTTCGATGGTGAAATGCTTGATATTCTGTATCTGTATAAAAAATGAAAGAGATTCAGATGTTTGGAAAAGCCAAGTTCTGTATCAACTCCAGAAAAAAAAATTACTGGCTATAGCAAGAAATTGAAATATTAGGAACTCATCAACACTTCAAAAATCTCATATGGGTTGATACATGGAAATAGATCATCGTCCAAAAGGTTACCACTTACCCTAGCTTGCTCATGTAGAAAGTCATAGCCAATGCGTTAGATGTTTGGACAGTTAGCACGATAGCACCCATCCGATTCTGAAAAGAAGAGAAAAATGATCATCATATTATCATTAAGTTGTGAATCTAAAGTAAAAGCAAGTAACATGAATAACGATGAAGCGAAATTTGAGAGATATATTTTGGTATCAACCTTGGAAGCAATGAGCTCAATCAACTGCATTAAAAACTCTCCCAGTCCTTTTCCTTGGATCCGGGATTCCAGCTGTATTTCATACACATAAAGCACAGGTATCTCTTCCTCTAAAGTAAACCGGTAATGCACAAATCCAGCTATCTGATTACACCCTTTGATGGAAATTCCACGAGTAGAGGTCTCATAGGCTTTACCATAACTCAGTTCACGCACAAATATATAATGTGCGTCTGCGGAAGACATCTCCTGACGCTTCGCCTTCGCTTGTATTGGCCAATCAGACCCATAGAACACTTCCATATTCATCTGTGCATTTAAGAAACATAATGTATAATAAATTCACACGAGATGGCGAAAATACACCGCCGAAATTCCTAAAAGAGTATGTTCATTTTTTCTTTTTACCTTCAAGAGTTTTCGGATGTATTGCTTCATGGACGAGGAAAGTCTATCTCCACGGCCAGATTCCAAGTAAACAGATAAGTCTACAAGACGTAAAAACAAACAGACACACACTTACTAATCTCACCATCAAGGCTCTTTCTATGAGCTTTATAACGAACCAAGTAAGCGATGAAAACAGCATTTCCACAACCATGGTCATAACTCACTGATCATATATTACCAAAATCTGCATGAGCAAGGGATTCACAGATGATCTAAATCCATGTAATTACTCCAAGCTGATCAAAAAGCACAAATTCGAACTTATACTGCATCTGTTTCATATCCTGTTGTGTTATTAGCAACTGTAACTAAAAAACCCAAGTGTTTGTTTATCTTGAACTACCAACGTGCATTAAACCAAAACCCTATTGGTGAATGATAATCAATTCCCATACATTAAGAACCCAAATTTTCAGGGACTGGCCAAAATCTAATAGAGCAGAAGAATAAAAATTACCATTTTTCCGGTAACGACGGAAAGAATCAAACGGAGAAAGAGGATCGACAATGGAAGATGCTCTTTTTATAAGGTCGTGAATCGTCTTTTTCTTCTCCAATATCTACACAACAAGTCTCAAATTATTCGATTTCGAACAAAATTGTAATCGAAATTTCGAATTCTGCCACAAAAACATACAGAAAGCTTCCGGAATTTTTTACCTTTCGCCGTTTCTTCAAATCCATGGCTCACTACACCGATGA